AGTGATGCTTGTCACGTATGACTGATGCATACTAACAAGTTTGCAAAACCAGAATTCGGAGTCAGTACTGGGGCAGTCGGAAATTGGTTCTGATTGATGGAGAGAGAGAGCATATAACTCTCATTTAATATTTCTTCCAATATGTACAATAAAAAAATATAAAAACTTAACAGTATGTCATGCATTATTTATGTTTACATCAATATATTTGATAACAGAGTAATACATTCATATGAGCTAGTAATAGAAACAAATACGAAGAAATGAAAGAAAGGGGTGTCCCGAAAGAAAGCCTCAAGGGCTTGTTAGGAGGGGATCACCAGAACATATAGTTGTTGTGCAAGTCAAACTCTATAGTCTTGAGTAGATTTACGATGTTTTTTTTCGTCCTCGAGTAATTCTGAAATTCTATTGGGTAAGTCAAGAAGTTACTAGCTGGTAACTTCTTGGGTAAGTCCATCTCGTAAGCTCGTCTAGAGAATCTGCCATGGGCGTAGATCTGTAATTGATACCTATTGTTCAGGGGGGATGATCTATTCATTCACGTCCCCCTGAACAATAGGTATTACGTGAGGATTGACGCCCATTGAATCTGCCCTCGTCTTACGTTACGGCAAGGACAGATACTCAGTCGCGTGCGGCCCCCGACTGACCCCGAGTAGTCCAGCCTCTGTACCGTTTTCGTTTAGCGCACCCAATCAGCTGATAAAATAACACACCCTCAACGTTGAAAGTAGACCTAGTCATTCCTCTAAATCTGGACCTCGTGTGGACGGAAATTTGGGGATTGCGCGATCAGTGGAGAGACCGCGCTGTGTGTGGGGGATAAAAAAAACGAACCGACTGAGTCAGGACTAACCCCGAGCGGAGGCCAGACTTTGTATGGCACGCCACAACCGTCATAATTTATGGCACGCCACAGCCGTCATAATTGGTCGAGTTTACAAAAAAGCAGTCGAGTTTACAAAAAAGCAGTTGAGTTTACAAAAAAGCAGTCGAGGTAACAAAAAAGCAGTCGAGTTAATAAAAAGGCAGTCGAGTTTACAAAAAAGCAGTCGAGTTTACATAAAGGCAGTCGACTTTTAAAAAAAGCAGTCGAGTTTACAAAAAAGCAGTCGAGAAAAAAAAAGCTGTCGAGAAGAAGAAAATAAGAAGTCGAGAAAAAAAAGGTTGTCGAGAGTTAAAAAAAAGGGGGAGAGAGAGAGTTTACCTGGGGCAACCTTATAACGTGGACAATGATAAAACGGGAAGAGGGTCGATATTCATAATACGAGAAGAGGGTCACTATTCATAATGCGGAATGAGGGTCGCTATTTCAATAATACGAGAAGAGGGTCGCTATTCATAATATGGAATGAGGGTCGCTATTCATAATACGGAATGAGGGTCACCATTCATAATACGGAATGAGAGTGGCTATTCATAGACATTAAATAAGCAAACAAAATGATAATAAGGAAGAGAAATATTGAACGGGGGACACCCCCACGGCTGTGGCGTAGCGAATGTGGGACGAATATTTGTCGAAAAACATTTCATACGTATTACTGACAATTTTAAAGAAAATATTTCATCATACATGCACCCGAGATATATAATCATTTCTTGTATGCCTTACACAAAACCTGTATGATATTAATCTATTCCCTCATCAAAAAAAAAATGAAAATTTGTTAATTTTTGCATACAAAGCAAATAGGAGAGGAGCTCACAAGATACATGTACGTCACAGAGTTGCCAACTGGAAATGAAATTGGCAAACATATGACATAATCATGTACGTGTATGAAGTTTATTAAAAAAATGGGTTTCTCCTTGTTGCATTGCTGTAGAAGTTTTCTGTGAATTTGTAATCATGAAAAAAATGAGAAAGAAAGTGAAATATGAGTTAAAAGGTATAAGTGGGATGGAAATATATTCAGGTCCTATAAACCTAAATAAAAATTACAATAGAATCTTAACCCGTTGACTACTGAATGATCTAATTCCCATAGACTTAACACAGGGTCCACCAGGTTCCAGTAAGCGATGGGTTAATAAAAGTGTTGCTTTGTTTATTCTAGCACAAAGAAATGGAGAAAGAGAAGGAATAGACTGGGACAGAAAGGGAAAGAGAAGGAAAGAGTGGACAGAAACGGATAGAGGAATTATAAAGAGAAAGAGAGAAAATTAGAGGGATAGAGAGAGAGAGAGAGAGAGAGCGTTTGTGAGTCATACAAGGAGTAGTTCCTTCCATTTCTTAAAAAAATGAAAAATCATGGAGCTAAAAGTTGTACATATGCATGCACAAGACTTTTAACACATTGTACATGTATGAACTGGAATCTCATCAGAGCATTGGGTATTGAATTTCCATCATGATCATGACAATACAATTTATACGAAGATAGTAGATCCCAATGTGTTATGTAATGGTTCAATTTCTACCAAGTTGACCTTCATCTCAGTGGGAGGCATGCAAGTCAGCTCTGATAGTGAATGTCAATCATTGTTACCATGACGATCCCTCTCTGAGCTAAGCTCCTCCTATAAGCATAATTATTTTTGCTTGTGAGCTCACTTGTTGTCATGGAGTTATTAAAGGTAAAGACCAGTATTGGAAACGCCCCAATTTCAAAAAATGAAATGGAAGCTCTCATTACCAATCATGTGAAAGAATATGTTTTGACTAATACATGATGATACAAAATTTGCCGGGAAACCGCCTACTCATTCATATATTTGGTAAATTTGTTTCTCTCATGGTCTGTGAGAGATATAGGGTAGTCCCATATACATCTTTCTGTGTATAGTGCTTGTAACTTTACGAAGAATGGGCCAAATTTCTTATCATTTTGATGATTCCAGAACCTTGCAGATGCTAGATGCTAGATGATCAAACTTTTCTGATCGATTCCACAACGTTTCTTTCACAATGCAATCGCATAACCAGAACTGGTCTTTACCTTTAACTCCATGCTTGTTGTACTACAAACCATGTACAAACCCTGTGTCAGGAGCAGTTATAGTACATGACCTATGGTAGTCTTATAATGCAGACTCTCTTTTACGACTGACCAGGGTTTGTGCATGTGAACTAGGTTCGATCCTCTTCTCGTATTATGAATAGCGACTCTGATTTCGTATTAAGAAATTATGCTTCACTTTTTGCAATTCTCGACGGCTTTTTTTTTTTTTTTTTTTTTTTTTTTTTTTTTTTCGACAGCTTTTTTAAATTCTCGACTGCTTTTTTATCTTTCTCGACTGCCCGGTGACGGATTTTTTTGTCGGCGACGGTTTGCGTTTTCTCAGCGACAGCATTTTTTGTTTGTGCGCGCTCGCGATTGCGTGAGAGCATATATGGATAGCTAGCTAGTAACGTAGACGTTCGATCTAGATCCTATGAGTTATTCTAAAATTGGCGGGGAATGATTTCCAAGATTATCCGCAGATTTTATGTCAGTTCCTTGAATCAATTCTAGGAAATGACATAGAATCTGCGGACATTGATTGTATCGAAAGATATGAAAGACTCTTGGAGGAACATTGTCGTACCTTCAGTGCTCTGCTTGCGTCCATCATACGATAGCACCGCAAGTAGAAGCAGACCTTACTAGAGCCAGAGCCAGAGGGTCTAGGAGAAGGACTAGATATTCAACCAGATCAGCCGAGGACGCAGGTTCACACACGAAATATGAAGAATTAATAACTTTAAAGGTAAAGACCAGTATTGGAAAACGCCCCAATTTCGAAAAATGAAATGGAAGCTCTTATTACCAATCATGTGAAAGAATGTGTTTTGATTAATACATGATGATAAATAATTTGCCGGGAAACCGCCTACTCATTCATATATTTGGTAAATTAGTTCACTACATGGTCTGTGAGAGATAAACGCACGTGTCGCGCACGTGTGCGTATAGTCCCATATACATCTGTCTGTGTACAGTGCTTGTAACTTTACGAAGACTGGGCCATATTTCTTATCATTTTGATGATTCCAGAACCTTGCAGTACACACCAATACTTGCTAGATGATCAACCTTTTCTGATCGATTCCACAACGTTTCTTTCACAATGCAATGACTACGTATAAGTGGTCTTTACCTTTAAACAGCCAAACCAAAATAGAAAAATTACACTAAAGGGAACAAAACAAACGAGGAGTAAGGCTGACGTCAATGGTCATGAAACAAGATAGATATTGACAGAACGAATACATCATCACATATGAAATATCCCCCTCCCGCCTACCCCCCCCCCCCCCCCCCCGCCTCCTACGCCTATGAAGACGTCTCGAACATTCAGATGTCAGACATTTATATTTTTCCGGGAGCTGAGGTGCAGGTTTGCTTGTAATGATTTTGACTCTCAGTTGTTGTTTTTTTTGGGGGGCAGGGGCGTCGCTAGAGGGACACCCCTCCCCCATCTGTAAGGATATTGTCGATAAAATTATGCTGCTGTCGGGAAAATGAGAAAGGGGGAGAGGAAAGAAAGGAAAATAAAGAAAAGAAAGAAGAGCAAAGGAGGAAAAAGGAAAAATAAACAAAATAAAACTGGGGATAAAAGAGAGTAGAGAGGGGGTAAGAGCCTGAGAGAAGAGGGGTCGGAGTAAGAGAGGGACGAATAGGAGTAAGAGAGACGGAGATGTTGGGTGGAGTCACCACGTCGAGGAAGCAAGAAAGATGTTGCTGTGTCGGGTCCGCTGTGTCGGTAATCTTGCACGAGCCTCGTGTACTATATGAATGCAGGTCGGTGAGATGTATTATGTCGGTCGGCCGGCAAATCTTTTTTTTCCCTACGAACTGTGACTTTTTATCGGACAAAGAAACATTTTTGAAAATTAAGACAATGATAAAGAGTGGGTACAACGAATCGCCTTCTTTTTCTAATAATTAAATGAAATGTCAAAGATTCCACGTTTCGCGCGGGAGGGAGGAAAATAAATTCAGATAAGGATTAAGATAAAAAAACAGTACAACGAATCGATCTTCTTTCTCTAATACTTAAATGAAACGTAAAAGCCCCTGCGCTTCGCGCGGGAGGGGCAAAACAAGAATTAGGAGTCTGGATCAGTACAACGAATCGTCTTCTTTTTCTAATAATTTAATGAAATGTCAAAGTTTTCGTGCTTCGCGCGATCGAGAGGGGGGAACTGAAAAATAATTTGGCTCCTGGCCCAGGGTTATAGGGTTTAATTGGTAGACATTGGGACATTAGGCATTATTTTTCTCTTTACTTTTATTTTTTTTAACTTCCCAAGTGTATAGGGACATACTTATGTATTGTTTTATGCGCTATAAGAATGGTTGTTCGTTATCATTATTACTATTATTAATATAATTATTATCATTATCATCATTATTAGTGTCAAATTCCCCTTGACAATCCACTACTGGGCCTTTAAATTCCGTCACCGATTTCTTCATCTAGACGATGTCTCCATCTGATCCACGGGTCGATCAAAAATCCAATAACACCAGCGATACAGAGCAGAGCTCCCGTCAAGCAGAAACAAGATCTGTAATCGCTGGTCCAATCGAAAAGTAGTCCTGTAATCAAAAGAAAAAATAGCAAACTATTATAAATCAATCAAAAGAGGGAGACATCAACGAAGTTCAGTATTCGTTCTGAAAGACTCCAATGACTTGAAATTATAAGAGGCTAATATAACGTAAATTTCTGTTCTGCCTTAAAGTTTAAAATTGGCAAAAGATTATGTCACTATAATAATTACGATGTTGCTACGATTAATTAAAATGCTGAAGAAGAAAACAAAAATATAAATACTTTTCTTCGTCCTCTTTGACACCTTACAATGGAATATTTCTTCCTCTTCTACTTAATCAGGTATTTTTCATTGAGGGTTAACATGATGCAGCGTGGAAATCAATGAATTTTAGTCCTGCTACAAATTGAAACGAACTAAATCCATGTTGAAGTAACATACCTAGTAAATACGTTCCCAAGAGCTGTGAAATCCCCGTGAAGAAACTCTGCAAGCCGAAAGCGCTGGCCAGTTCTGAGGGCGCTGTATACTTTTTAGTCAGGACCGGACACAATGGAATTTGGGCTCCCGTCGACAGTCCGAAAATGATGGCATAGACAACAAAGGCTGGATATGTTCCAAAAGTAACAATAATGTAAAGGCTACAGCCTGCGAGTACTGAAGTCAACCCGTAGAGCTTGGTCGGTGTGATGAGTTTGAAATCGAGAAGGAATCCGTGAGTGAGACGACCCACGAGGCTACAAAGTCCCAGGATAGTGAATATGAAGGACGCCCTCAGCTCACTCACGCCTGATGATACGATGTAACTGGGCAGGTAGACATACGAAGGGAAGTATCCACCTCCCTGAAATGTTGCTATGAGGCAGAGTAGAAGAACGTTCGAATTTTTCCACAAAAGGTTGAAACCGAACAAATCGAGAACATCATTGATAAACTGACGACATTTTACCGCGCAGTATTGGCAGGAATTTCTCTTTGACTTTGTGTTGTTATCATGCTGCAGTGATGTCTTAGTTTGGAACTCTTCAATCGATTCGCGAGGCTGTATATCTTCCTTCCTGTCCATCTTGGGAATGGCAATCTCAGATTGTACATCAGGGTAGATTACGGTGTCGTCGGGACCATGGCGGACTACCTGCAATGGATCTCCAGTGTGAGCAGGATCAACCACTGACACGAGCGGTTGTAGTTCTACTGTCTCCCCATGCTCAAAAGAATTCATGGAACTGTCAGCCGGAAGATTAAGTATGATCTCAATTTTCCCATCAACTGCATCTTCATCTTCGAGGTAGTCATTCGTCAGTGGACGTGGAGCATTTCTTCCTTTCGTATCTTTTTTCCTTTTTGACCACCAGGTCAAGGGTCGGTATACTGCTGCGGTGACGCTCAGGTTCGCGACTAGACCTGCCATGATAAGAAGTGCACCTCTCCACGTGAAGACTTCAATGAGCAGCGCCATCAATGGTGATCCAGCCATGATGCCCATCCCCACTCCAGAGTATGCCAACCCGTTTGCTCGGCCCAGCCATTTATCAAAGTAGACACTGACGACAATGACAGTTCCTTGATAAACCAATCCCATCGATGTACCTATGAACGATAATAGGGTAGTAGGCAAGAATAGGCAATAGTTTTAAAATATTTGTGGCTTACACCCAGTAAATAAGATCGATTGAGCGATCTGTAATCGAAAAACAAGTCAGAAAAATCTTGGAACCAGCGGGATTTGAACCTGCCATCTACTGCTTGCCGGGCAGCGACTCTACCCCCAGGTCATCACTGGTCCATGGCACAGTCACGATGAACTAGAAACAAATACCCAAGCTCTCCTGATTCATTCTGACTTATTAATATTCATTAGTCCGCCTAACCCCGCTGGTTCCAAGATTTTTTCTGACTTGTTTTTCCATTACAGATCGATCAATCGATCTTATTTACTGGGTGTAAGCCACAAATATGTTTAAACTATTGAAATTTCTCCCAGGAAGCATTACATTTATAAAGAATAGGCAAATAAGTAAAGCAGGAAATAAATTCACAGCATAAGGGACTGGATTCTTGAATGTTATCACCTAAATTTAAGAAAAGTTCACTTTTGTATCCTTACTTTTCTTTAAACATTAAACCTTTAATAATGAAAGCATAGGCATACACTATATTATAGATGTCAAAACCTTTTCCATGTCGGACAAAGTATCCAACTCCTAAACATTAATTGTATCAATATCCATTTTTCTTTTAATGGATTTCAAGAAAAAACATTACCGACTGTATAACGTAATAACATGGTATACATGGTACTAACCAATTAAACAGGAGCATATAAAGATCTGCCATAGTTTGTTGGTCATAGAAAGCAGTAATATCGATGTCATCGCACAGAAACCACCAACAAAGACGATAGGACGACATCCGAATTTCCGATTTAATGCACCCGCCACAGGAGCTGAAAGAAGCAAAAGACATATAACAATAAAGATTTAAAAATACAAAGCGTTAGCACTCGGTCATTGATTAGGTCAGGGGGCTAATTGTATAAAAGCCAACACTGAATTGAGAAAGTACAGTGACTTTTAGCGGAAAAGGAAAATGATTTTTTGGAAGGAACGAATGACTGCATAGCAATAAGTGTCCAGAGTGCTGCGATTTATTTCTTTAAATTCGACACTTACAATGTTATCTAACTTGATTTATGTCACAGATTGTAGAGATTTAACAAAATAACAATCCATTAACAACGAGATGACACAAAAATGTAAAAAAAAATATATGGCCTACTTTGATAATGACATTCCATTGCTCTTAATTACTGAGATGAAAATGTAAATTTTAGTAATTTTACCTCACCCATCTAGCCCCATGACCGACATACTAATATTACCTATCAGGAATCTTGGTGACGTCGCTAGTGTACTGGCCCATGAGACTTGCGAAGGGGTGACTCCAAGTCTTTTCTCCCATTCAACCGTCAGGAGAGGCATGGAGGAGCTCTGCATTGACACGATGGCTCGTCCAATGAAAGCTGCTATAACAACCACCACCGCCCATCTGCCATCTACCGGGCTCGCTGATTGGCTGGGAACATGATGTCTGGTATCTCCATCAACATCAATAGAAGATGTGGACGGTTTGTTTGCCGCCATAATTTATCCGTGAGAAAAAAATATTTCAGAATACAATGAAGAATATTCTGTGAATAAATAAAGAGACAATTATTTTTAGTGTTAACAGTGTCAATATTATATTGACAAGTGGGTTCTTTCCTTAAACCTCCTTGTCATTCATTGTATATGATTGTGTCTTGGGGTAGTGGTTAATTCACATGGCTTTCAATCGTAAGGTTGAGGGTTTGAACCCTAGCCCTCCATTGATGTCATTGTTCAAGGCATTGTCATTGATCTACATTTGTCACTCTCTATCCAGGTGCACGTTGATACCTGAGCTAGTAATTTTGGTGGCTTGGCTTGGTAAATGTAATCCCCACGTGGCTAAGCCGAAAAGGGGAAAATGTTTTTCTTCATTCATGTCTTCAAAAAGTTTCATCAAAAGTAGAAAATAGATGCTAAGGAATACTCGCTAACTAAAGGTGAAACGAATAAAGTAAATTTTCTCAAATTTCATAGAGAAATATATACGTATTGTATACATACATGTATATATAAATATGAGCGTGTATGAGTGCGGGTGTGGGTATGTGTGTGTGCGTGCGGTTGTGGGTATGCGTGTGCGGTACTAACTTTAGAAAAGATGAAAAAAAAGCATTTTTAAGTATAGGGATGAGGAAAAGAAAATAGCAATTAAAATGGGAAAGCTGGGATCACATTTCTTAAAGTGGGAGCAGCTTAAGATTAATTAAGATTTGTTTTCTTCTCCACCGTGAGCCTGTTAAAAGCGTTACTCTATTTTGCGGCCTGGATAACTTATTTAGTATATTTTTCTTGAGTTGAGAATGTTGGCAGACATCCACTGAGTGAGTAGTGTGTGTGGGGGGGGGGGGTGGGTGGGTGAGTATGTGTGTGGGTGGGTGAGTATGTTTGTGTGATGGAGGGTGAGTATGTTTGTGTGATGGAGGGGGCAGGGAGGGGGCAGGATTGTTCCAGTAAAATTACCTCCAGATTTGTTTAAGTTTTTTTTGTAATATATATGTGAATAACATTTACAATTGACATATTATGTTTAGGTACTTATACGTTTACTTTGTTGCTAAGTTATATTATACTGCAAATAAGTTTTTGTTTAATTATGTTTATGTAAAATGACCAATATTGAACACGTTTATTTTATTCAATTGTATGTTATGGTTTGTATTACTCATTTGGAGAAATAAAACAAAATTGTTAAAAAAAAAAAAATTAAAGTGCGGGTGTGTGTGTGTGTGTGTGTGTGTGTGTGTATCTTCGTTATGTTTTAAAGGAAGTTCCTGGTTTGCTTCATGTCTTTTACCTAGTCATTTGGGTTGAAGGGTGACCAATGGCATGAGCAGAATGTTGAATTGGAACGGGAACTGTTCCAATTCAGTGGCGGATCCAGCCGGCGGGAAGAGGGGGGTCCCAATCCGTGAGAAAATATTAGTTGCGACTCAGCCGTCGGTGAATAAGCGGGGGGGGGGGGGGGTAGGGGGCACTCTTTTTTGGTCCAATTTTTCAGGAAATATTTTGCGCCGACTCAGTCAGCCGGTGAATAAACGGGGGGGGGGTTGAGACCACTATTTTTTGGGGGGGACCTAATTCGTGAGATTTTAAAAAAAAAAATGTGTTGTTGTTGTTGACCCGTCAGCCCCCCCCCCCCCCCCCCGTGGATCCACGCCTGCAGATGATCCAGCCGGCGTCAAGGGGGGGGGGTAGCCAAATCTTAATACAGAATTTAGTGCTGTCTCAGCCGGCCGGCGAATAAGCGGGAGGGGGGGCGCTTTTGTTTTTTGTTTTTTAAAGGTTAACTTAACGTTATTATCCTATTTTTTTTTTATCGTTTTGGGGGCTGGGGGGGGGGGGCGGGCCGGAAAAATCGCTACGTGGATCCGCCCCTGCAATTAACCCTGCCTTTTTTATATTGAAATGTTTTAAGGACTGGACCTTATCCTACAGTTAAAACGCGTGCCAGTTTTTGGAACAAAAACTCACAGCTATTCTGTCTTTGACGACCTAATAGTGTTAGTTGGAGACCATTCCTTTAGAAGGATTATGAATACATGTGATTATATTCATCCAGAAAACATTTGAAGCTAATATGCTTAATAATTGAGGAATGTCATTACTCATGGGAAAAAATGTCTTTATATACAAGTCACACCAACGAGACGGACACCAGGCTGGCAATCGACAGAATAAATATTAAAAAATAAATATTACCCCTAATGACCTAGATTAATTGGTTTGGTGTCAGCTTAGCGGTATGACTAAGGCAATGCCACTGCACAATCCAATAAGAATGTCTTGCCCGCGTCTGATATATCTTTATCAAAATTAGATGGTAGGGAGTTTTGCATATATTTCCTAACTGTGATGAAGATAACAATTTGTTATAAACGTTGTATCTGTAAGTTGAGAATAATATTGATGTAATCTATATAAGAAATGTCTATATACAGCAGACGTTAAGTATAATGGTGCGGTCACAAAGGTTTGTACGAACCATGCGTTCGTACGTCTCTTCCTGTTTTTTCATGGTCTTTTCGAATTTCCATGGTCTGAAAATCGTTCGTACGGCGTTCGTAATGGCATTTGTGACTGAGACTTGCTCGTTACCCACGTCTTGGGTTTCTGAATAAGGGGAGTATAATCTTGCTGGTACTATTTTACGTTTGGAAATGACACTAATGCCGTTATACGTACCGTGCATAGAGATCTATTTATAGATCTCTATGTTACCTTGTCACTTACATATTATATTTTACCCGCATGTTCTGCTGTAAATAATTGAATGGAATGAAAACAATATTACACGATCGCAAAGGCTTATGCAAAATATGCACTTCCAATAGCCCTGTCTATATCTTCTGAGATGTGTGAACATTGTATTGATGTACATGTACTTCTTAATCCTTAATTGATATCAAAGGAATATACCGTATAGGGTATTGGAACAACTCCTAGGTTGATTTTGTTTTCGAAAGCAGTTAAATGGGTTAGTCTAGCCAACATGCACACAGAAGCATAACCCTGCTCCAATTAAGGGCCGCCCCTAGCTATTTTCGATTGCTGCAACTAACATACCAATAACGTGACACTGTTCGATTATAATCTTCGACAAACACTTACCCTTACCAACGAAATAAGATGTAATTCCCTGAACGTATTCCTCGTGAATGAATGTGCTGTTTTCCGTGCATTTGAATAGTTGGTTGATGTACAGCATCGCGTGTACTCGTCATATATAATACATATGTAGAAGCGTGTTTTGATTGCTTACCGAAGCATGGGGTTCAGGAAAAACATAATTATTGTTTATGGTCGAGTCGTAAAATACCTTTGTGGCATATATACCAGCAGAGATATAATAGACGCGTGGGTAGTGTCTGGTCAGGGTCAGTGACTGATGCATAATAGGGACTTTTAGATTTGCACGTCGACAACTTTGACTGCAACGTGTGACGTCATTTTAAGGCACTGTGCATGCGTTACGTCGTCTCGGCGATCGAGAATGCGTCAACTTTGATTTTCCTTAATCTAGTACGTACATACATACATACATATTGATATTTATATAGCGCCTTTACATGCTCAAGGTACTAGTATGCCGCATGCGCATAACATATACAGTTCCTCAGGTAGACAAAGGAACATCCCTTCCCTGTTATTATGTAAAAATGTGTAGAACAGGTTTCACATGCATATTCACCTGTTCTACACAGTTTTACATAATAGCAGTGAAGGGATGTTCTTTTGTTGAGGGTAGAACAGGAACTGTATATTTTGTCCTCTTTCATAGTGTTACTTCCTGCATGCATGTATATCGTCGAGTGCAATCTAAAAGATTTCTAATTGTAGTCAACATGGGCAGTTAGTTGACACGCATGATCAGTCGGCGTTCGTTCGTCGTGTTCTCATCCACTCAATCTAAAAGTCCCTATTAACAAGTTTGCAAAACCTGAATCAGGAGTCAGTACTGGGACAGTCGTAAATTGGTTTTGATTGATCGAGAGAGAGAGCATATAACTCTCATTTAATATTTCTTCCAATATGTACAATAAAAAAAATATAAAAACTTAACAGTATGTCATGCATTATTTATGTTTATCTCAATATATTTGATAACAGAGTAATACATTATGAGCTAGTAATAGAAACAAATAGGAAGAAATGAAAGAAAGGGGTGTCCCGAAAAAAAAGCTTCAATGGCTTGTTAGGAGGGGATCGCCAGAACTATATATATATTTTTTAAAGAACAAAGAATTGTAACATATTCAGACGAATCATGCTAACGACACATAGAGTACCGGTGTATGGTGCCATATTGCACACCAGCCATGCCGAAAGGCCACTGAACCCAAACGGGTTGAATAGAGGCCTGTCAACAAAATAAGGCGAAGGTCATATGAATTTGTTGTTTCCCCTGTTAGCGCGTTTCCTGATAACAAAAATTGATTTTACCCCACTTATCTTATTGTATTATAGTATGTGGGAAACTGTGCAACCTTTACATTGACCAGACTTATTATATTACAAAAACGTGCAAATACGTATTATTATACAAACTCTCATTTTTAAGCCTCGACATGTTCTCTTTTTCAAAAACTGTACATTCTAAAAGTATCTGATTGTCATGTTACTCAGGTCGCACCCTGTATGTACAATTATTTCAAAGGTGTTCTGCCATCAGTATTTAAAGAATATCTTATAAATAACAAGTACGCCGAAAGATATCGAACCAGGAAATCCAGTAACCTTGTATATCTGTTCTTGTTATTATTATAATATCTCAAGGACCACTGTGAAAATACATTGGGCCTAAGTTCTGGAATTCCTTTTCTGTTGAACTTAAATCTTGCCCGACACTTCACTCTTTTAAATGAAATCATAGACATGGTATCGAGCTCCTACCGTCATGATAATTGATCAACGTATCCCTTTATTTATAATGTTTGTTCCACCTCGGGTGTTCGTTTATATTCTGTTTGACTTTACTTGTAAATGGTTTGTTAAGTCATATTCTGTGCTTGTATTACATATTGTCCAATTTATATATTTGTCAGGGTTATGCCTCGAAAGGCCAATGTCCTATGCGGTTTCCGTCCACATTATGGTTTTACTGTGATGAATTGCTTACATATTATGCTTTTGTCCTACAATATGAGAAGGTAAGAATGTTTCTCAATTTCTTCAGCAGTCTAAGAGAATCACATCATCAACTTTGCATTGTTAAGTATATAGCATAATATAATGTGAGAAATATAACTATTTATCCATTTCTTCCGGGAAAAAACCCAAACAGATTAAGGGATTAAAGAGATCACATCATCAAACTTGTAGCACAACACGATATGAGAAAGCAAAACTGTTCCTCTATTTCAACATTTCTTCTGGAAAAAAAAGAGATCACGTCATATGTTATCAAAGTGTAATATATTTAATGTGAAAATAAGAGGTACAAATATTGAGAATGTTGAGTACAAAATACCTTAGTATTAGTATAGACAACGAAATGAAATGGGATGCTCATATAAATATAATGTGTCAGAAATTTAGTAAACTTATTGGCTTCCTTTGTAGATTAAGACACTTTATGAATGAATCTGATTTGAATCTAATGTACAACACCATAATTATGCCACCTTTTGAATATGAAGACAATGTTTTGGCAGTCCACTACTAGATCCTCCCTTTCAATTTTACAAAAGCTTCAAAACAGGGCGGGCCGTGTGATAATGAAAGTAAATCCGTATTCTCATACATCCAACCAATATCTTCATGATACTCTAAATTAGGACTTTGTAGACTGCCGTTACAAAAAGCATAATGTACTATGATTGTTAAATAATTACACCCCGTCTTATATGTCAAATAATATCAAATATCGCACGTATAATTATTCATTTCGCTCGTTCCAAAATCTAGATCTCCCCAAACCTAATTCAAATAATTGCACGAGAACATTCTTCTATAGGGGGCAACACAATATAACCAACTACCAGAATACATCTAAAATGTAACTACATTATTAAAGATCCTTCCATACCATAATAACTGCTAATTTTAAGGGATAGTTGAGTTCTGTTTTCTGACCGCAAATGCCTTCAAAGTGCATGGTTATTGCTCTTATTCTTATCTATGACATTTCTAGTACCCTTTTAGAACCTAAAATTGCTATGAAGGTAATTTTTGACCACAAAATGTGTGATATGTAGCCAATACGATCATACCAATTCAGCTCCACTTCCCAAAAAATACGGTGACCGTTAATTAATTATTTAATTAAAATAACAATAATTATATATAAAAAACACGAAAATGCTAACAAAAAAGCCAACATCAGCATTGGCTGAAATACGACGTAAAAGGTGCTATTTCGTTTGTTCAACGGCTTTTTCAAATTATCTAATATTTGTGGTGGTACACAAGTATTAGACATCGTTATATTTATGGATATTTCAGCCTTCTCTAAACCGATTTTGATCAAACAAAGATGATTTTGTCATTTAAAGGCAGACTTTACTACTTCGGCTAGAAGGGATAAGACCACCCACAGAGCCAGCGAGGTCACTGTGACAGGTGGCTATCTCATTAACTCAGCTCTCATTTAACATAAGAACAGGAGAATCACGTGGGACCAACAGGCACCGATTGGGGAAGTTTTCTATATAGAGGGAGCAAGTAGCTACAAGTAGGACAGTGTGCCTTTAAATTGTATGTTCTTTCAAATTTGACACTCAGTTTTTCATTATCTCCAAACAAATTATTTTGTGTAGCGCCCTCTGCAACAGAACTCAAATGATTGTTGTGCATAACCTTGTGTGTGTGCGTGTGTGTGTGTGTGAGCGCACATGTTATTATTAATAAAAATTGTTATTTTGTATTTTTTAAAACTTATATTTATGTTGTGTTTGTATTCTGCTTTATGTCGCTTTAATTAAAATATTGTAGTGTAAGGACCCCAAGGAAGGAAAGAAATGTTCTTTAAACATTGCTAAATTGGGCTTTCCTCCGATTTTTGTCTATGTACATTTATTAAAGTTTCGTTTTGTATATTTCACCATGTATAATATCTTTATCTGATTTCGGAAATAAGAACGAAAACAACAACTACAACATCATCAAAAAAAACTTGTAGCACAATATAATATGAGATACAATACAATACGATATGAGAAACCAAAATTGTCTCTCCCGAAAAAGATTAGGAGATCACAACATCAACCTTTGAAGTCGTTAAAGTAAACTGTATAGGGTATGAGTAATATGATATGGGAACGCAATGCTGTTACGGTTTCTCCATTTTGTCATGAAGGAAAAAAGAAACAAAAGATCCCACCAGATCACATCATCAATCTTTTGCAGCCGTTATGGTATATAATGGCAAAATACAATATGAGAAATTAACTGTTTCTTCATTTCTTTTGATAAATGATAAGATTAAAAAATCATGTATAAACACATCATCAAACTTGGTAGTAGTTACAGGATATAAAAGCAAAGCTATGATAATGAGAAAGTAATAGATTGAGAGATCACGCTGGATCACAACATCACATTTGTGGTACATAGGTACCACAATAAAAAATTTAAAAAGTATGAAAGAAAGGCCTCATGAAAGAAAGTACCTCATTGACTGGTGATAATCATTACTAGTCCTTGTCATCAATCCACTTGGATGTGCCTGTTTCTTTTGACTATGACTGAGTCATAATGCTAAAGTTTAAATTACCACACATGTTCCGGCGGTCGATATTCTACAGTTACTGTAACCAAATTTTAACTTCGACCCTCGACCAAACAATTATATATAACCCTTATCTTACACCTTAAAGGTAAAGACCAGTTATGGTCATGCGATTGCATTGTGAAAGAAACGTTGTGGAATCGATCAGGAAAGGTGGATCATCTAGCATCTAGCATCTGCAAGGTTCTGGAATCATCCAAAGAAATTTGGCCCATTCTTCGTAAAGTTACAAGCACTATACACAGAAAGATGTATATGGGACTACCCTATATCTCTCACAGTCCATGAGAGAAACAAATTTACCAAATATATGAAATAGTAGGCGGTTTTCCGGCAATTTTTTATCTTCATGTATTAGTCAAAACATATTCTTTCACATGATTGGTAATGAGAGCTTCCATTTAATTTTTTGAAATTGGGGCGTTTCCAATACTGGTCCTTACTTTTAAACCTTAAACCAATAGCGACCTCAACACTGTGTCTTTGATGAAATAAAGCCCGGGGAATATACCCGTACAACGGTAGTGCTTCTAGTACAGTATCATAGCCCTACTACGATCAATGACGAAGCTTGCACGTGATGATATTCTGCACTTATTCAAGTATTAACATCAGCTAGTAGAAGAGTTAGACATTTTGTAATCTCGCCGGACAAAACATGCCATTTTACACCATGATCATTCTTATCCACCTTATCAGGGTGATAACAACGAATGGCACGAATCAGTAGCTTCTTCTGTGAACCTTTCTAAGACGACGATGACGATGACGATGCAGAGGGTATCTTCGACTCATCAATCCCTTTAGGAGGCCACTGTTTGTATACTCGTTCGACGAATTTGTCAACGGGTAACTTTTTAAGACTTTCCAGTTTTTTTAGAACGCCTTTCAGTTGTTCCTTTGCAATCTCTTTCTCCTTAGCTTCCTTTTGTTCTTGTTCTCGACGCGCCTGTTCATCTGTGAATAATCGGGGAAAATGTTTACGAAAGGGGGCATCTAAAGTTCTAGACCCATCACTAAATGGGGTTTCCTCTTATGATAATAATGAAAACAAAAATGATAATAACAATACTACTACAAATACTGATGATAATAATAATACAATTATAATCAGGGGCGTATGCAGGGGGGGGGGGGGCTGTTTTGGGTGTTTACCCCTCCCCCTCAATTGTTTTTGTTTTTGTTTTGTTTTGTTTTTGCTCAAGGGGGGGGGGGGGTGAGTAAAAAAAATAAATAATAATAATAATGATAATAATGCTACTTATCCCCTCCCCCCCTCCCCACTGAGCGAAATATCGGTCGACGCGATTTTCCCATTTCCGGGGGGGGGGGCAAAAAAGAAAAGCTTTAGTAGATTCTGCAAATGTATGGGTAGGGGGCATCTTTAGGGGGCACGGAACTTACTCAATGAACGAAGGGAGAATGTCAGGGGGAACTATCATATTGACTTTCACATCTTTTTAATCTCCATCTGCCTTTTATTTTGGGGCTGTTTTCTCTCTCTCTCTCTCTTCCCCTCTCTGTATTTCTCTTTCTCTCTTTTTTCTCATCTTTCTCTCTTCCCCTTCTCTCTCTCTCTCTCTCTCCCTCTCGTTCCTTCTCCCATCTCTCTCTCTCTCTCTTTCTTCCCCTCTATCTCTTTTTCACCTCTCTCTCTCTCTCTTCCCCCTCACTTTTCGTCATTCGATTGGGGTAGGTGACCCTTCTTGCCCCTGCTATGACTTTTTTTAAAAATAATTATTACTACTGGGCCCCAACTATCCTAGATATGTTAAAAGAAATGGATATACTGATTAATGTAGCAGTCTCTGTATAATGTATTCATAGGAGCATAATGAGCTCACGTTTTACCTTTGGCTTTTGATAAACATTTCTGGACGACATCTTTTTGGTACTGGACGTCTTCCTCCAGGTCAGTGACGTTTACTTTGAAGCTTGAATCCGCACCTGTACATCTTTTCTTTGCTTCATTCAGGGTTGTACTACATTCATCCATGTACCTAGAGATACAATATCAACAAATAATAAATTAATGCAAAGCAACACTTACGCTGGAAGTATGAAGAGCCTTTCAAAAAGTTAACCTGAAGGAATTTTAGGTGCGATATTGTGTGTCATCTACAGATCTGGGCCCTGTTTCATTTAACTAGTTATCAATTACAAGTTGCAATAACCGTTACAAGCTACAGAAATTGTGGTATTTGATTGGCTGAGAGTAAAGTTTGTGGCGTGCGCCTCTAATCCAGCTAACAGTGGAAGTTACAAACTGATTCAGGCGAGGACGCAGGTTCGAATCTGAGTCACGTCTTTCGGAAGGTGACATTTAGAGGTCGGCCCTTAGACGTAAATAATCATTTCTGATTGATACACGTCTGTAAACCCAATACACACACGATGTCACAGAAATTTAGCATTTGTCATTGATAACAAGTTTTATAAAAACGGATCTTGCATCAAGTCTTTCGTCTTCTTTGTGCATGGCTGATCGTCAACAAAACGGAGTTAAGTCTTTTGTCAACTCTGTTTGTTGCTAAGGCAGGCAGCCAGTGAAAATGAACCCGTTTAATCAAATTGTGGAAATGCAAGCATTACTTTAAACAAACAGAACTTTGTTATTCCTGGCTCATTTTTCCTGATTAGGGTGTCATATGGAAGGGCATAAATTGAACTTTCTAGAAATGTTATTTTCTCTTTGAAATTCAGATACCGCCGCCAAATGACTTTTTGGTTTTCTCTCTTCAAATTGTTTTTAATTGCTCATGCATGAAATATGCATCATATGAGTTGCACTAAATAGAAGAGGAGGATCTAAGCTTTACAAATATGTGTCATTTATTAATTATAATTGTGATTCTTATAATTCTTGGTTTCGTTTCTTCTTGGACGCACTGTATATTGTGTGTCGATCCTCACATTTGGTGTCTTTGGGGGAAAACTAAGTATAAACAAGGGGTTACTACAGTAACTAGCAACTCCTTGGTATAACTCTTTTTAAATATGTTCACACATAACGTACCCTTGGCAGCTTTTGTATGCTTGGTGTTGCAGAGCATCTTTTCCTTTTCTGAAATACATATTTGCGATGCGAATATAGCAGCTGACCTTAGCGTCACATTCAGGCATGTAACCAACGTACTCCTTGAGGGCAGTGATCCGATCTGGAGAAGTCGAAAGCAAACAACAAAGACATGTAGGAGTCGATAAAGGTACGACCCACGAGACCGACAATGTTGTTCTCGGTCCCAGAAGCCTTTTGAAACGTTATATGAATGTGTTTTTTTTTAAAGGAACGTATACAACACTTGACTCTTTGCACCACTGGTAGGTTAAGGGAGCACAAGCGGCCCTTGCCCCCTTTTTAGGTACACAACTACGTACTTCTTATTAAAGAGATATTTCAATTCGATTGCAGAGGGCGCTACACAAAATACAAAAATGGTGAAATAATGAGAAACTGAATGTCAAATTTGAAAGAACATACTATTGAAATGAAAAAAAAAGAATCATCTTTGTTTGATCAAAATCAGTTCAGAGACGGCTGAAACATCCATAAATATAAGCATTTCTAATATTTGTGTACTACCACAATTATTAGATAATTTGAACCAGCCGTTGAAAAAACGAAATATTGCCTCATACGTTTTATTCCAACCAGCCGGCCCATGTATTTTTATTATCAATTAATTTCTTTATTTATTAATTAACGGTCACCGCATTTTTTTTTAAAGTAGAGCTGAATTGGTATGATCGTATTGGCTATATCACACATGTTGCGGTCTAAAATTATCTTTATAGCAATTTTAGGTCCTAAAAGATCACTAGAAATGTCATCAATAGTAATAAGAGCGATATAAACCATGCAATTTGAAGGCACTTGCGGTCTAAAACAAGAACCCAGTTATCCCATTAACATTAAGTTTCTGTCGTTTTTAAATAAACTATTAATTACGTAGTATGTACGAAGAAATTGATTTTACTCTACAGTGCATCGGAATGCCTATTAGAAACGTCTTACTTTTTTAAAGTCTCTGTCATGGTAGACAGTATGAGGGGTGCCCTACCGCCGCCCCTGCCCACATTCCTGAGGACTTGGTCATACCCATATATATTTGTCGTGGTAAAGTGGTTAGCTCTTGACTCTCAAACTAAGGGTTCATGGACGAATCCCAGTCCGAGATACACCATGGATCACAAGGTCTGCGGTTCGAGTCCCGGTGTCGCACTAACGTCCTTTGTCAATACATTAATCCACATGTGTCACTCTCCAGCTACGTAGAAATGGGTACTTTGCAATTACTGGGGAATGAAAACTCGAAGGGCCCTCAGGATAGCTTTAATAATACTGATGTGGCTATCCTCGCTATGTAAGACCAAATTATCAATCATCAAAATTATGAATTTTATTATCATTCAAATCTTGACGAATATGTTTATCAATTAGGTGGAACATAACTTCTATTCAACGCGAGTACCTTCGTCATTTCTTGGTGCGATCCATGTTCTGATGTCATCTAGACATTCCTTGATAGATCTTTCAAGATGTTTGCCCCATTCCTCGACCATGCAGTTCCTTTTCGTGTAAGCGGTGCCGAAGTGCTGCAGAGCCTCTTTAAAGTGCGCATGTATCACCTGTTCCGTAAAATAGGTATGCATTGCGAAAATAAAAAGCATGCCAAACAATTGTAACGTTATATATTAATAATAATAACGGGTTCTTGTACAGTGCTTTAAGGCTAAAAAGTCATGATAAATGTGACCTCGAAATCTAGTTCATATTAAGAACTAATGTCTAGTGATACCCATATTCATATTCTTTCTTCCACGGATGACTAAGTAACAGGGTTCTTTAAAAGTGCTGTCAAAATCTACTTGTACCAAGAAGGATATTAAGTTTGGGCTGATGAACCAGATGTCGGTCAGGCCATATGTAAGTGCTACTTTGGTCTTAGTGATACCCTAGTAGGGGGGTAGTAGAGTATTTGGTCAAGGATCGATTACGGTCTAGCATTATGTCAGGGTAGGGTGATCGGGGACGGAATCTAAATACATCTACAAACCTTTCGCTCATCAGGACATGTATTCATCTTCAGTTTAGCTAGCTTCCAATAAACAGTTCCGGTGTTCTTTGCCGCTGAAACCAAATCATCATCCTTTTGAGAACTGGCGTAAGCTTTCTTGTAACACTCCAGAGCACTCTATAAAAAATAGTAAAGGGTTCATTAATTCTATTTTTTTTTAGTGAGTTGATAAGATGTATACATTGAATCGTCTTCCAGTGAGCCAACAATTACCAAGGTAAACACATTACCCACAGTACACATAGAGACAGTTACATCCTTTACATACCTTTAGTCACGCCGCTGAATCGACTCCAAACCAACCGATTCTTAAAATTTAATTGGCCGTGTTCACACGATGGCGATTTTGGTCGACGTAAAGGTCGTAAAGGTCGTGTTTAGAGCAAGTTGGCGTAAAGGTCGTGTTTAGAGCTAGTTGGCGTAAAGGTCGGGGTAGTGACCGTCTGAACAATATACTGTAGATCTAGAGGGATATTTTCATTTATTGATACCGCACATAATAATTCCCTAGATATAATGGTCTTGAAGGTATACTTTCAAAATTAAAAGATCCGTATTTGTAAAGGCAGAAAAGTCTGAATGGTCGAGTTGTAGTGTATGGATACAGAACACTAAACGTACATGGGGACGAAATGCACAAAGGGGCGAAATTTCAACAACTTTATTTTTCTCCATGAAAATTATTTCGGGGGTAAGGAATCCGGCCAGCTAACCAATTCCTGGCTCCCTCAATCGAGGGGTGGGAATTACCCTCCGGTCTCTACATGATCACATATGCAACAGCGGTTTTTTTTGTTCTTCTTTCTTTTTTCTTTTTTCTTTTTAAAGAGAAATTCAGTACGCTGAGGTACAGTTTCAAACGAAACCCATGGCACACGTAAAATGGCCCATAAGGGGGTCGCAGATTGTGTTCCCCCTTTTTCCTTTAAACCAAATTTGAGAGCTTGTTGTCATATTTCTTTATGTCCCCCACCCACCCCCATCCACCCCTTCCCCTCCATGGTCTGAGCTTTTCCTGATCAGTAAATTAACATTAGTACGTTACCTTGAAGCGATCTAATTTGGCCTTGTCGCTTCCCTGATCACGAGCTAACTTGAAAAACGTGTTACCCTTTTCTCTTGACATTCTCGATGTGTCCTGGTTTGATGTCTGATCGGCACCTAGACAAACAGAAAATATTGCGATACTCAGAGAGATTATACAAAAAAGAACAATACCTTAACAGTAAAGAATATCAAACGACACTTCCGGAATACACTGTATGAAAACAGCATGTCAAAAGATCGCCAATAAGAACATAAAACACTAAAATTAAGTGGACTAATACGTGAAAGTAAGTAAAGACAAGTGGGCTGGAAAATACATAAACAATATATGATTACAATAAACAGTAGTCCTTCATACCCTCTCCAAGCACTTCTCCCCCGCCCTCACTCATGCCCAGAATTCCGCAAACGTTGTACGTGCCCCTGTTGCATTGGCTGGGTTTGGTCACTTTGGTATTCATTTTATTTGCGATAAATTTATACTAGTGTTTAGACGCATTTCAGCTGATGTGAAATAACAAAATATCTTGATAACCAAAGCATTAATGAGTATCTCACCTTTACGTTGTTGCTCATGCGCCGTTTCTCCTCCGGGAGACTTCTCTGTGTCGTGTGATGCTTTTGCAGGATTGCTGCCATCTTTGGCGCCATGGGACCCTGATGTTCGACCAAAGTGCGTTTCATTCCAGTCATTGTCTTCTACAACTGGACTAACAAAATTGATGCATTTTGCGAAGTATCCCTTGGGCCCTACGTACAAATGGAATTCCACTTGATCTTGAACTGCAACCGGCTTGAACGATACTTCAGAGACATGAAAGAATACTTTGCTGTATGTTTCATTCACCTTTATAAACCCGAATCGACGTCTGTTTAGATATCGCGTCACAACGCCAGTTGCATTACAATTCAGGAGCGCCTCCTGGTTCACAGCTTCATCAGGTTCAGAGTCAGAATCTTCACCATCCAAATTCAGAACCTCAATAGATTCTGCATAGTAACCTTTTGGTCCCACAAACAAATCAAACCTCACCTCATCTCCGACTTCAATGTATTTCTCTGGAACAGCTGAAATATGAAAAAACACTTTGTTGTAAGTGTCATTCACCCAGATAAAGCCAAAACGACGTTTGTCATTGTACTGCTTCACTACTCCAGCAACTTCTTCATGAATAGGTGCCTCGTCGGACTCAGACTCGGAATCGTTATCATCATTATCCTCATCATTATCCACATCATTCAGAACCTCAATAGATTCTGCATAGTACCCTTTTGGTCCTACAAACAAATCAAATCTCACCTCATCTCCGACTTCAATGTTTTTCTCTGGAACATCTGAAATATGAAAAAACACTTTGTTGTAAGTGTCGTTCACTCGGATGAAGCCAAAACTACGTTTGTCGTTGTATTGATTCACTACTCCGTATTCACCTTGTTGAATAAGTTCCTCCCCGGACTCAGACTCGGACTCATTATTGTCATCATCCCAGGTTGAAAACTGGACAGATTTTGCTATGTATCCCTTCGATCCCATATACAAGTCAAATGTCACCTCGTCGCCAACTTCAACGGACGAGTATGAGACTTCTGAGATATGGAAAAACACTTTGGCATCATCATAAGTTATGAAACCAAATCCACCTTTCTTTTTAAAGTGCACTACTTCTCCAGTCACACCGCTGTCAATGAAGCTATCATTTGACATGATGAACTAACAGGTAATTCGATCGTGAAACTAACAAGTTATTCGATCAGTATATATTATCTATCTTTGTCACGACAATGCTGACAAATGTATACATACCCTACACCATTTGAACAGAAATCAGCCAATCTACTTCAAGCAACGAACGGTATGTCGATAATGGAAACGAGTACGAGCAATATGGTCCTAAATTATGAGGCGAATTGTAAGTCATATGATTACTCGTCAAGCTGCTGTAATCAAATACGTGTGTAACACACCAAGTTCGAATAACATACATGTAGCTAAAAAGCACACAAATGAATCGTAGTATCATCGTCAGTGTTTCTGTTTTCGGATTGCGCATGATCCGGGGACTCCCCACTGACCTTTGATCTCTGGTAGAGGTCAGTGGCACTCCCACGTTAGACACGTCTTTAGTATGGAGCGCCAAGTGTTAACCTAACTTTTTTGTACAATTTATGGCTATTTTCACAAATATAATAGATAAAATAGCATCTATTGACATGATTGTTTGTTTTTGTTGTTGTTGTTGTCTTGAGTGGAAAGAGAGAGGGGGTGATAGAGAGAAAGAAGAATTAGATTCTGCATAGTACCCTTTTGGTCCTACAAACAAATCAAACCTCACCTCATCTCCGACTTCAATGTATTTCTCTTGAACATCTAAAATATGAAAGAATACTTTGTTGTAAGTGTCATTCACTCGGATAAAGCCAAAACGACGTTAGTCATTGTACTGCTCCACTACTCCGTATTCACCTTGTTGAATAAGTTCCTCTCCCGACTCGAACTCATTATAATAATCATTATCGTCATCATTATCCTCAATGTTCAGAACCTTAATAGATTCTGCAAAGTACCCTTTTGGTCCTACAACCAAATTAAATTTCACCGCATCTCCAACTTTAATGCATTTCTTTGGAACAGCTGAAATATGAAAAAACACTGATTTGTAAGTGTCATTCACTCGGATAAAGCCATAACCACGGTCGTCATTGTACTGCTTCACTCTTCCAACTACACGTTGTGGTAAAGGTTCCTCCCCGTACTCGGACCCGTACTCAGACGTTGACATGATAAACTAACTTAGTTATTCGATCATGAAATTAACACGTTATTCGATCAGTATCTTATCTATCTTTGTCACGACAATGCTGACAAATGTATATACCCTACACCACTTGAAAAGATATCAGCCAATGTACTTCAAGCGACGAGTGGTATCATGTATGTCGATTATGGAACGAGAAATACCGTCCAAAACATGAACTATGTCGCGAACTGAATGTAAACACTCAGCAAGCTGCTGTAAGCAATATGCGTGTGCAACATAGGAAGAACTAATCAGATACATATAGGTGCAACGAACATAATTGAATCGTATAATATTGGTGTTTCAGTTTCCGGATTGCGCAAGATTTGGGGATTCCCAAGTTTTTATCACTCGCTCCATAAACAGGGCACATCTTTAGTTTGCGGCCCCAAGTGGTAGATTACCTTTCATGCCTTTCTGGCTATTTAGACAAATAAGATCTATAATAAATATAGCCCAGAATCTGGCCTATTTAATTTTATCTCCACCACACCAACGTAACGCTACCTCTCCCTACTTACTTGCTACTAGCCGATGATGGCGTGATCATTAAATTAGGACTAGTGTCCCTTTATAGAAAGGGACTCTAATGGACGCCCGGTTGGACGTCCTCAGGCTGGGCTGGTGATTATGAGTTTGTTGATAACGCCATATTCGACGGCTTGCATCAAATGTGTAGGGAATTATAAAGGACCGGGCAGATTCTGGACTATAATTTATACTCCATCTATTGACATATTTTTTTTTTTGTAGTTTATCTTGGGCAGAAATAGAGAAAGAGAGAGAGAGAGAGAAAGGGGGAAGACAGAAAGAGAATAACGAGAGAGAGAGAGGGGGAGCGAGACAGGGAGGGAGAGAGAGAGAGAGAGAGAGAAGTGAAATAATTTCTTTCACATACAATATGCCAGTGGGTATTTCCACCCAAGTCAAATGTTCTAAACATAGACATCCCAAACATCGACAAATAGATTTCTATTCCAAAACAAAGTCATGAAAATTCAATCGCTGGCATTAGGTACAAAGTACAAGTTCGCCGAGAAATGACTCATTGAAATTGAAAATGAATTTGACATTCATATTTATTTCATTCTCATCATCGGTATAATATGGAAGAAAAAGAAATCAGGGCAGTAAATAATTCAGAAAACAGAAGGAGGCGTAAAACTCGGAAAGAAATTTGGCTAGTGTTGGGCCCGTGTTGGGACCCGCCCATTTCAAATTAAAACAAGTTTCTGTAAAATCTATGAGCTGAAGAGCATTGGGCATTTAGTGGATAAGTTTATTTAATTTAGGTCCTACATGTTGATAATTCAAGTCTTTTATTTTAAAGAAAATATAAAGCTCATTCACACCGAAGAGACCGCGGCACCAGACCGACGACGCACCGAACATGAATATACATTACTATAAGGAGTCAGACACAAGTTCGAACAATCGAGTACAGGCAAATACTTGGAAAACTGCGAACAACACTAGGTGAATATAGCAACCTCAACGTTCAAGAAGAGGCAGTGTGTACAAAAGGCATGAGGAAAATCTTTCGAAGTTAACCGATTGTCGATATAGATTTTTTGGTAAAATAATGCCGTGCTTCAATTATCTAGTCCACGAAGGATCTGTCATGTAAAGATCCTTCAAATGGCATAATATAAAATATAAAAAATGTCCACATCATTACTTTTTTTTTAAAGAAATAAATATTAACAGCATTACTTTTTTTAAAGAAATATATATCAACAGCAGGTCGACTTAGATCTCTCAGGCTTTTTGTAGTGTAAGAAACGATGAGGGCACTTTATTCACTGAGCATTTGTCTGTATTCCTGTTTTCCGAAGTTGTGTCTCAGATTGACAAGTGACCAAGAACTTTCGGTTCGGTGTCGGATTTGTGGTGTGACTGAGGTAGATCATGGACCTTCTTAGTAGGTCCATGGGTAGACAGAAATAACCGTCTGGTATGGGTCATTCTTTAATAAAACTGACATTTGTCGTCATTCCCATAATCGGAGGTGTAGTGGAGCCAGACGTAGTCTCAGTGGATCAACCGGTGATATAGAGAGACTGAAGCTTTTGGTCTAGTCCATGGGTAGAGACGTGTTATGTATCGAGTTGTATTATATCGTCATATTGCTTTGCTTGCACGCATGCGCAGAGTTGGCACTTGTTTGGCATTAAAAAACATGGAGTTGGAAGTCAACATTATGATGGTCACTGTGTCCCACATAGTACCTAGACAATTACAATTTTGGCGACGAGGAACGGATTGTATATGGAACGACAGGATTGAATCGATTTTCATGAGGAACTGGAAAAGAATGGATGATTATGGATTTTAATTGAACTGCACATCCTGTAAGTGTGCCATCATCAGTCCCAGTTATGTAAACTTTGGTATGTACGCGTTGCAGTGTGATAGCTGCCAGCCACTAAATAGCCCGGTGGTGCAAAAGCCAGTAGGCCTATTAGCAGATGTAGCCCATCAGTTATAAGCCCTGCCATTCAGGACCAGCAAAAAGCCCTGCCAGGGTCAGCCCTAAATAAGACCAGGTCCCGTAACAGACTATTTCATTGTCAGTCCTAAGCCAAGGATAAGCCTAGAGCTAGACCCTCTAGACTAATTAGCCGCTCTAGCCAAACGGTCCGGATGAGTTCAAGCCCAGGTCCAGCCCGACACAGCCGTGTAGCCCAATTCTAGCCCAGACCATGCCAGCCCAGCCCAGGTCTAGTTAAGTATGAACTAGCCAGCCAGCCAAGACCAAGTCTTATGAATAGACTCTAATGAAAGCAAGTAAGCAACACAAAAAAGGAACTCGGTTGAAATTTGGGTTTGTGTTGACAGTTTGGCACGAAAAATATGTTCATTGAAGCCAAGTCATTAGAGTCTATGTTTATTATTAATGAAAACTTATTGCAAGTAGAGTCAAAACAAGCCCGATAGTAGCTAGTGCCGTAGAGTGGTAAGTCTAACAAATTAATATGATTATGAGATTTTGCTGTGGGTAATTCCAGAATTACGGTCTCGGTCTCGGGCCATATTTATAACCCGTTACAAAAAAGGCATAGGCCTAGCCCTATTACTTTTTTTTTAATTTAGTCCACGACAATTAGGACCAGGAACTGTTTGACAAGAGGTCCACTTACATTATGATCAGGGACGAATTGATCTATTTGGTCCACGTTTGCCGGGACCAGGTACTGTATTTGGAAAACATTAAAATGTTGTCCACGCTGACAAGTAAGGCAAGCTGCAAAATTTCCAAGCCAAATTCTAACCCCAGGACAAATTCATTGCCTTATGGCATGCGGAAAACAGTAGATGAGACTTTGGATGAACTCCTAGTAGAAGGGGTCTGCCCGATCATAGCTGTAAAGAAACCTGATGGTAAGTGCGAGTTTGTGGGAACTAAAAACTCACAGCCAATAAGGTATTGAATGGTAGCCAATACCAAGTCTAGAGGATATGTTGTAAGATTTGGAAGGCGCAGAAAAATTCAGCACAATAGATTTGTCTCGTGCTTGATAGTAAGGCGATAAACTAACAGCACCCACAGAGGACTATTTCAGTATACCACATTGCTTTTTGGTAAAGTAAGCGCTCCTGCCCTCTTTTAGCGAACGACGGGGACGCTCTTAGCAGAATAGTTTACTAGATCGATGGCGCATAATAAATGCTGTATTATTATTATTATTATTATTATTATTATATTATATATTTTGCGGCTGTCGCCCAAACTTAGACGACATAATCGTGAATGGAACCACAGATGAGGAGCACCTAGCCAACTTAGAAGCATCAAGTGTCTTGAAAAGAATGGACTGCTCTTAAAGAAGGGAACATGCGAGTTCATGATGGACTCTGTCGACTCTCTTGGCAACAGATTGGACAAGCAAGGTATTAGCTCACCCCCAACCCCTCAGAAAATAGGCAACATTCGGCAGAAACCCTAGTTTTGTTCTGGTCCCTTTTATTGATTTTTTTATTCGCCGACTATAAGCATTAGGCCGAGTGACGGCGCGATCCTGAGAACCGGTCCAGGGTCCAGAACTAGACTACAGAAACCCTGGCCAGTGAACCAGACCAAACTGAAGGCTTCTCTCGTACTCAAGGAGCCGTTTGTTTCAAAGAACGCCAAGGAGCAACGGAGGCAGAGCCTTGTGTTAGCACTGGCGTCAGTGTTATGGTGTATGTGCATAGACATAGGCTTAACAATGATATGTGCTTCTATGTTAAATATGCGAGATATGAATGTGCAGTCTTTAGGAGATCACTAAGAAATTCATCTTGTTTGGACATTTTACCCCAGACCAACTCGGTAGTTTTTTTAGTTTTCTCTCACGAACTCCACTGTGTGAGAGAGATTTACTGTAACAGCTCCATCTACGTCCTCTCTATCTCAGCATGACTGCTGATATGGTGTGAGCAAAAAATGGGGGGAATTTAAAAAGAAAAAAATTACAATAGGGAAGATACAAAGAGAATTTGTTTGATCTCTCTCACTCACTAACATACACTCACACAAATAATCTTGACTGCTATAGATAGCAATAGCGGTTTATTTTAATTGGGCACTCTATACAGTGTTGTTTGAAGGGTGGGCTTTTGGTGTGTAATCTCGTTGTCGTTGTTGATAGGGGGTCTATCTTGTTTTCTAATCATTACAAGACAACTTGTATTACTAATGCCCCCGGCCCCCCGCTCAGTGTAATTTAGGGTACGCATATCAGGGTTGGCATATTTCCCGCTTCGGAGGCTTATATCCCGGACGCCGGGAAATAAGCGGTATTTACCGGTATTTACCGCTTTTTACCGGTATTTACCACTTTTTACCGGAAAATACCGGGAAATATATTTTTCCACTCACTTGTTCATGGGGATTGTCCAATGTTGAACATAATAACAATGGTGGTGAGTATGGTTGCTCTTGTGTGTACTATTTGTGTGTGTGTGTGTGTTTGTTCATGTGTTTGTCTATGTCTGTAATTATGTAATGTTGGAGAAAAAAAATACAGGAAAAAGATACCAAATATACACCTAATCTAGATATGATGTTCTTCATTAAAGGGAACCAAAACCTTCATACTAAGTTAATTTTATTGTAAAGTTTAAGATATTTGAATAAAATTAGTGAAAAATTGAACAAAATCGGGCAAGGAAGTTAAAGCTTTTTAAAATGACTAGTCACTAGAGGGCAATATTCAATTTGATGACATCATTTGTGGACAACTCTCCATGCCTTTTGTACATTAAATTTCACAAGTCTTTCGTTTTTTTCCTATTTATTTGTGTTCTTGATCGGATTTCATAACATATGAAGTAGAATATCATTTTGCATTCGATACCTTGCTTTCAGGGGAATAGATTATCTCAATCACAAGAAAGAAGGAAAAACATGAAATTTGATGTACAAAAGGCATGGAGAGTTGTCCACAAATGATGTCATCAAATTGAATATCGCCCTCTAGTGACTAGTCATTTTAAAAAGCTTTAACTTCCTTATTCCTTGCCCGATTTTGTTCAAATTTTCACTGATTTTATTCAAATATCTTAAACTTTACAATAAAAGTAACTTGTATGAAGGTTTTGGTTCCCAGTTGCTAATTACCATATTCATGAATACCTATTAATTAGCATACCGGTATGCACAAAATGCCATTTGTTTGGGTGTGTACAATTTTGTATGCAGTGAGGATTTTCTAAATCTGTTTGTGTGTTCCTACTATGAGTATTGTGCTGCTAATTATTTCAGAACAATATTTTCAGTTATGAGGCTAAAAACAAGTAAAATTATTAATAAAAAGTGAATTAAAATCATATTTCCCGTTTTTTACATATTTACCGGACGCGCATCTTTTTTACCGGACGGTATTTACCGGTATTTACCACCGGTAATTACCGCCACCGGTATTTACCGCCCAACCCTGACGCATATGCTTGTTCCCTCTTTTTGAAAGCATCCCCTATCTGAGGACTGCCAACATTTCCGAACCCCCCTTTCGCGGGCTTTTCCTGCCTTGGAGACCGCCCTTAATCATGAAAAATGCTCAATGTACCCCCCTAAATTCGGAATAATTTTTCAGGAGTCCGAAGGGATGAGAGAGAAAAATAAAACCCTTTTTAAAGAAATCTCCAGGTGGAAAGTTAATACACCCCTTATTTCACAATTCTCGGGCCGGACTTTGTCGTACGAAAAATACCCCTTATCGGATATTTTGGTAACACGCATGCTGTCCGTCCGTTCTCGGAGTGGGGGGGGGGGGGGGCGGGTTAAGGCCTCTATCTGTAATATTGGTATTTATGCAAGGACATTTACAAGTTCATACAGTTATTATTTCATAGCATGTATCCTTGTAGCCTACTTTACAATATGAAAGTCTCATTTGCTAGGAATTTTATTGAGGTGTTCGATATCCACATATACTTTGAATGTTCCACTTGATATACTTTGTTAGAAACAGGGTCTTTAAAAAAACACCTACTTTTTTTTCAATTTTTTTTTTTTTAATGATTCCAAACAATACAAATTAATCTTTAAAATAAAATACAGTTGTTTTTCCTTGACATGAATTCATTTTTTTTTTATTACATAGATTATAAAATTAATGAAAACAAAAATGAAATCAGTTGTAACATAAAACAAATAACCCTCCCCCAGGAAACAGGGTCTTTAAACAAACACCTACTTTTTTCTCTTTTTTTTTCATTTTTTTTTTTAATGATTCCGAACAATACAAATTAATCTTTAAAATAAAATACAGTTGTTTTTCCTTGACATGAATTCATTTTTTGTTATTACATAGATTATACAATTGATGAAAACAAAAATGAAATTAGTTGTAACATAAAAGAAATAACCCCATCCAACCAAACACACTACTTACCCCCCCCCCCCCCTCCCCACACACAAACGCACCCACCACACATACACTTACACTAACAAAAAGGATATGAAAAAGGGCACACAAAAAAATAGGGCGTAATATCAGAAGGTGATAAAAACAGGGGTAAACCAACCCGCTCACACATTTTTAAAAAGTTCCCCATAACTTAATGGATAAATTTAACGTAATTCGTATCTGTTTGGGGGGGAAATGCTCAGTTGTAGATTTCTGGAAAAAAATATTAACAAGAAGGTAAAAAAAAAAATGAAATAATATATTAAAATCGCAAAATTGTCGGTAAGGCTTGATAATGAAACCTTTAATGCCCCCATATATCTAATGGTTTAGCCACAATGATCAAGGTGTTTTTGTTCGACTTGATTTCCTTAGAGGGAGGCCTGGGCATCGTTTCATGAACCCGTTATAAGTACAAGTTCACCGACATCCCATTGAAATTCGTTTCAACTCAATCCATGTATTTTAATAGGATGTCTGTGAACTTGTACTTATGACGGTTTCGTGAAACGCTGCCCTGGTTAGCATTCAATAAATGTCCTCATTACTCTTTTAGCATGTTGCGTAGCGCATCAACTCCTGCTCCTGACAAACATTGTCCAGAAACGTTCCGAAGACAAAATAAATAAATATCAACATGTTGCAAGGAGTTTTTTCAAAAATAATTATATGTAATGAATACATGTACATTCTAGTGAAGGCTTTAGCAGACACCAAACTAATTCTAATGATGTTGTCGTTCATTAGGTGTGTTTTGACATCATGTATGACAACGTGAGATTGTTCTTCTGGCTTTGAATTCCTCTCTAAAGGAAAGCAGTTTCCACAATAATTATTCAAAAGCAATAAAATATATTTACATATTCATAGAATTATTGGGAGCGTTGCGTGGTGGGAAGCTGTATTTCGAAACCTTGTTCTTGGAGATTGGAATATATTTAGAGAAGAATCCTTTCCACGTGTATTGTTGTATTGTTTTGTATTTATTAAACTTTTTATAGACATATAAATCCTATAAATCAATTAACAATGCAATATAACAAATCGATATCCTATTTGTAAACATATATCATATCAATCAATTTGCAATGCAGTTTAGCAAAACAAAATGAAAATTATATACAGCAGAAAACCTTTTTTTTTTCTTCTTGTAATAACATGACACATATTAAATGCAAGAAGTAAATAATATTATGTATCATAATACATCCGGAGATTTAGATATATGAAACCTGTTTGTAATATAGCAGTTTTCTAAATAAATTAAAACTCATGCCATACAAAATATGTAAATGAGGTAAATGGAATTTAATAGATAATCACGTCTGTACAAATCCAATTACACACACACACATATTCATATTCTACAGAAAAGTGCTGGTCGTATCATTACAAGGTCTTTCGGATGGTGACGTTTAAAGTCGGTCCCCAGACGTAAATAATCATATCTAATTGATACTTTTTTTCTTTTTCTTTTTTTTCTTTTTTTAATAGTTTTTTTTTAATTGATTCCAAACCATGCAAACTAATTTTTAGAAATAAAGTACTTTTTGTTTTCCTTGACATAAATTCAAAACATTTACATTACATACATTGTACAATTGATGAAAACACGTCTGTACAAACCCAATTAATTACACACACACACTCACAATCTGCCACGGCCCCGACGATTAGGCTCTAGTTCCACGCTTCGTTTGATATCCGCAGATGCGAGAACAAACAACGCAGCTGGGGGAAGCAGCGAGTTACGGGACTAGATCCGGGATGGCGCTAACAAAAGTAACTCCTCGGCGCTAGAGGGGATTTTTTTTTTCTTTCTTACGGTAGTGCTTCTAGTATATTATGGTTCCAATAAAGAAGCTGGCACGTGATGATATTCTGCACTTATTCAAGTATTAAAATCAGCTAGTAGAAGAGTAAGACATTTTGTAATCTCGACGGAAAAAACATGCCATTTTACACCATGAACACTCTTATCCACCTTGTCAGGGTGATAATGGCTAATGGCACGAATCAGTAGCTTCCTCTTTGAACCCTTCGACGACGACGACGATGACGATGACGATGTACAGGGTATCTTCGACTCATCGATCCCTTTAGGAGGCCACTGTTTGTATACTCGTTCGACGAATTTGTCAACGGGTAACTTCCTGAGACTTTCCAATTTCTTCAGATCGCCTTGCAGTTGGTCCTTTGCAATCTTTTTCTCCAGATCTTCCTTTTTTTCTTTTTTTCGACGTGCCTGTCCATCTGCAAACAAAAAGACAAAAAAAATTAAGAGGGGGTACTTGCACCCATAACTCCATGTGGTTCCTTTTTTATGATAAGAATCATTATAACACAATATTATATAAATAATAAAAATAACAATTAAAATATTAATTACAATAATGACAACAATAACAACACTAATGCCAAAACGTACCTTTTCGCCTACAAAATCACAGAATCTCAAGAAAAACATAAATACAGAAAACTCATAAAATGGTATATCACAATATACGACTGAGGGAATAGGTTTCTTCTTTATAGATACTTCAAGGAAATACCAACAATGAAGACCCCCCCCCCCCCCCAACCCCTCCCCTTTCCCTTGAACATTTCATTCCCCCTCAGCTTCTGATGTGTCGTTCATTTTCCGGAGTGTTCCATCCAGTGTTCTCTCTCTCTCTCCTTGTCTCTCTTTCTTTCTCTCTTTCTCTCTTCCCCTCACTTTGCGTCATTCGATTGAGGTAGGTGACACTTTGTGCCCTTGCATTGCACTTATTTGTCTATAGTTTGTATTATTACTGGGCCCCAACTTTCCTAGATAAATTGTGTTTAATAGAAAGGTTTAAACTGATTAGTAAAGAATTCTTTATCTAATAAGAACATTGAAGCATAATCAGCTAACGTATTACCTTTTACTTTTGATAAACATTTCTGGACGACTTCTTTTTGGTACTGGACGTCTTTCTCCAGGTCAGTGACGTTTACTTTGAAGCTTGAATCCGAACATGTACATCTTTTCTTTGCTTCAGTCAGAGTAGTACTACATTCATCCATGTATCTAGAGATACAATATCAACAAATACTAAATTAGTGCAAAACAACACTTTTCTTATATACGCTGGAAGTCTGAAGAGCCTTTCAAAAAGTTAACCTGAAGCAATTTCAGTAGCAATATTGTGTGTCGTCTGTAGACCAGGGCTCCGTTTCATTAAAAGTTGTCGTTAATAACAAGTTACAATAACTGCTATAAGCTAAAGAGATCGTGAAATTTGATTGGCTCAAAGCAAATTTGTCGTAGAAATCAAGCATTTGTTATTGATAACAAGTTTTATGAAACAGGGAAATGTTCGGTAATTAACAAATGACCCCCAAATATCCACAGATCTTTTAAACATGGAAAATCCAAATTGAATTCGTGCTTTGTTGAATAATCAATGCCAAAGTGATGAATAATTTTGTTTGCTCTCCTTAAAAGAATACTTCCACCTGTGTATTATAAAAAATATACTGACTTTGCATAAGTGAATACTGATTATATCACTTTCATGGACACCAATCTAGCATTCGTCTCGATGTGTTTTTCAGTTTTTGTACATGATGACCTTTATCTGCCCAACTACTACTTTAGGTAATAAAATGGTGTATTGACAATGTCCTTCTGTTGTTAAGGTTGGAGCGCTAGAAGTGTCACGACGATCCAAATCAATCTTATCTCCTCTGATCAATAATGTAAGAATGACTAATGCATTTCGATTATTCCAAATATCTTGTTATTTGTTGTTGTTTGTTTCATTACATTGGAATTTTTCCCATTCAGTTATATACAGGTGCGCAGATTATGCGCTATCAGTCAAAATTTTGACCATCATCACATTTGGAGTCTTTGAAGGAAACTAAGTACAACTCTTTATAATGATGGTAAAGATACTATGTCCCTTTTGCAGCCAACATCAAATACTGTAGAACTTTGCAGGAATTATGAATATGTCATGTATGTGAGAAAATTTAACAATAGCAGTGTCCTAGCTCAAATTATTCAAGGAAACCCGTTTACCTTCTAGACTTCACTCTTAGACACTATTGAGGGACTGACTGGCATTTTTTTAATTTTTTAATTTTTTTTTTTTAATTTTTTTTTTTTTTTTTTTTTTTTGGGGGGGGGGGGGGGTAATAACATACTGTACATAAAATGAACTGTAACAGGTACATGAGCATTTGTCGACTCCAATAACCCACCACTTGTAATGGCCAAAATTAAACTGATTGAATCTTTGTGCAGCAAAAAACGTACGACCATTCGGTAAAAGGGTCTAAAACTCAGACTATTACTAGGTGATTGCAATCACTTACGTCAATTTTTTTTTTTTTTTTTGGCCTGCAAATGGGACAATGGTACCTTTAACACACATAGCTTTACCCTTGGCAGCTCTTGTATTCCTGGTGCTCCAGAGCATCTTTTCCTTTTCTGAAATACATATTTGCGATCCGAAGATAGCAGCTGACTTTAGCGTCACATTCAGGCATGTAACCTACGTACTCCTTGAGAGCAGTGATCCGATCTTGAGAAGTCAAAAGCAAATGAACAAAGACAAGTAGGAGTCGATACAGGCTAGAACCCACAATACCAACAATGTTGTTCGGTCTCACAGGCCTTTCGAAAAGTTATCTGAATGTTTATGAAACCCATAGCCATGAGATTGAGATGGCTTATGCCTAAAGGATGGGTAGCGTAGCGTCGCGTCGCGTTGACTTGAACGCGACCATTCGTCCAAAGCATCCGATAGGGTGCGTTGACTAATCTTCCACATCAGTCGTTTATAATAAAATTTAAGGAAAAGAAATTTAAGTCGTTTAAATTCAAATAATCAAAATAGAACACTCCCAACACACCCTTTCGGCACAACCTTAGGTACACCACTACGTACATCTTACTAACTGTCTGTCATTTTTGTATAAACTACTAGTAACGCAGTATTATGAAAATTACTTGATTTACTTTTATTAAACACGAGTACCTTCGTCATTTCTTGGTGCGATCCATGTTTTGATGTCATCTAGACATTCCTTGATAGACCTCTCAAGATGTTTGCCCCATTCTTCGACCATGCAGTTCCTTTTTGTGTAAGCGGTGCCAAAGTGCTGCAGAGCCGCTTTAAAGTACGCGTGTATCACCTGTTTCGTAAAATAGGTATGCATTGCGTGTATAAAAAGCATGCTAAACAATTGTAGCTTCATATATTAATAATAATAATGGGTTCTTGTACAGTACGCATAAAAATATACCCAACTTTGGTAGGTTATGATTAAAACGATTGAAAACTTTCTTCCGTCTAGTGATAGCCTATTCATAATTTTTTCTGCCATGGATGACTGAGCAAAAGGGTTCTTCAAAAGTGCTGTAATAATCAAGTTTGGACTGAAGAACAAAATGTGGGTCAAGCCATATTTAAGCGTTACTTTGGTATTAGTAGAGGAGGGTTAGTAGAGTATTTGGTCAAGGATTACAGTCAAACAGTGGCAGATCCAGAAGGGGCCCGGGAGGCAGGTTTTTTTTTTTTTTTTAAAGAAGACGGGCGCCTTTTCGGTGCTCGACGGGGGGGGGGGGGTGTTAAGTTTTTTTTATGTGCACCCTCCCCCCCTCCTCGTTGAGCAAACACACACAAAAATTAGTGCTCACTAGCCCAGCCCCCCCCCCCCCCGCCTATTCACCGGCTGGCTGTTTCGCCGCTAAATATTTTCTCACGAATTGGGCCCCTTCTTTGTCCCCTTGCCGCCGGTTGGATCCGCCCCTGCATCTACAAACCTTTCGCTCATCAGAACACGCATTCATCTTCAGTTCAGCTAGCTTCCAAGAAACAATTCCGGTGTTCTTTGCCGCTGAAACCAAATCATCATCCTTTTGAGAATAGGTGTAAGCTTTCTTGTAACACTCCAGAGCACTCTATGAAAATATAATAGAATTACAGTCAACCAACAATCACCTAGGGAAAAAAATACCCACAGTACACATACATGTATATACAGTTACATCCAGCAACTGAAAGCAAATTATACCTCAGCAAAGGCGGCCTCCCGGGTACAGCCCCTCCTCCCCCGACTTTTTCAAGTACCCCCAAAATGCCCCTTTTACTTTGACAAGTGCCCCTATTAATTTGTAAAAGTGCCCCGTCCCCTTGTCACTTCTGATAAGTGCCCCTTTTATTTTGACACGTGCCCCTTTTACTTCGAGAAGTGCCACTTTCACTTTTGATAAGTGCTCCCTTGACCTCTGGTGATTGCCCTATTCGATTCTGAGAGGTGCTCGTTTTACCTTGACAGATGCACCTTTTCCTTTGTAAGAAGTGCTCTTTCCCCTAAATACTACCCCTTTTTTAACTCGGATATAAGCGCACCTTATATTTTCACATGTGCCCCTTTTTCTAATGACAAGTTTCCCCTATTTAAAAAAGAGCCCCTTCCCTTCTCATCAAAGCTATTTTCACCACTAGTAAATTATCCTTTTCAGGTGCTAGAAGTTGCTCCTTTTTTACTTCAGATAAGTGCCTCCTTCACCTCCGATAAATGCCCCTATTCAAATCTGAGAGATACTCGTTTTACTATGACAAGTGCCCCTTCCCCTCCTGCTAAGTGCTCTTTTCATCATTGTTGAGTGTCTGTTTTCACCTTTAATAACTGCCCCTTTTATTATGACACGTGCCCCTTTTCCTTTTTTATAAGGGCCTATCCCCTTTATATAAATGCCCCTTTTCACCTCTTAAAAATGCCCTTATCAAAATCTGATGCGTGCCCCTTTTCAATCGACAAAGGCCCATTTTTTCTTTCTCATAAGTGCCTTTTTTCATTTCTGGTGACTGCCTTTTTTTTAGGAGTAAGAATTGGCCCATTTCCACCTCTGATAATTACCCTTCGTATTTTGACACTTGTTCTTTTTCTCTCATCATCAAACCCCCCTATTTTTGAAGCGACTAAGAGCAATTTCCCCGAAAAACTAGCTCACATTTATAGATGATATAATTATGTTACTTATCAAAGGTCTTTTCAGTCTTACGTTATGAGAATATGCTTATAACCCCATCAGGATTGGATTTTTTCCTCTTTTGAATTATAAGCTGTATTTTTTCGCACTGCAACCTACAATCTTAACATTTTTCCTCACTCGCTTCGCTTGCTCGCAAATGAATTTTGAGATAATCACACCCAATTGCAAAGTATGATGCTCAAGCAATATTTTGTATGGTGTATAAATAGAAACGAAAATTGAATTCATCCCTGGTAATGTAATCACGATGTATAGGGTATATACCAACATCTAAAAAGGTTGTATATTTTCGCTTTGAGATTTCCTTTAATATGTGCCCTTTCTTTCTCTCCAGAAAGTATCCTTTTTTTGTTGGTGCCCCCCCCCCCCCCCACTTTGGAAGTCGCTTCGCCGCCCCTGTACCTCAGTCACGCCGCCGAATCGACTCCAAACCAAATGATTTTTGTACATTCAGGCTAGTGCATTCCGAAGAATGTAATTGTCACCAGATAAGTGCCAAATTCAAAACCCAAAATGTTGTTCGTATTTTAAGGATACCGTCGGAGCTATAATATGAATATTCATTTCAACCATGCCTTTGAGTGTGCGTAGTTTGCTAGGGGCTGTAGCATGAAGAGACTAAGGCCCGAATTCACAAAGGAGGTTTGTCGACAAACCTAGGTTTATGTGCGTCATATGACGCGTTTTTACAAACCTACTAGTCGACAAACCTCCTTTGTGAATTCGGGCCTATGTGTCTTAACCGTGACCTGACTCGAGGCCGATCGAGTATAATAGCGAGCTTTTTCGGCTACTACGATTAAGGCTGGCTCACATAGTAGTGGCAAAGTTCTCTTTGATATAAGTAAAGTAAACAATTTTGCAATATTCCATTTCAATCCTCAGCTCTGCCCGGTGGGGCCCGGTGCCCTCCAGCTGCTCCGTTCACTGACAATTTAAGGGACTAGCCCAGTCAGCACATTATTCACAGGAGCTCCAGCATCTGAGGCCACTAAAGGGTGATAACTAATTAATTTCAGATGTATATACAAATAACATATCAATTATGGATTTAGTAAAATAAACTTATACAAGTTAAGGAAATACTGGAATAGGTAAGTCTTAAGAGGTGGAGTGTGTTGCAATACAGCGAACTGATGGGGGAAGCTTATTCCATAATTTGGCTGCTGCATGCGAAAAAGCACGGCCTCCCCAAACATGACGGGTACGGGGAATTTGCAGCAAATATCACTTCCTGGTGTGAAAGTAAGGAGTCTTGCACTGGAATTTTGGAGGGATTGCAGTCTGTCGTGCTGCTGTTTGGTGAGTCCAAATAGAATAGAATTACAAAAATCTAAGCGAGATGAGATTAGTGCATGGATTAATTGTTCACATGCTTTTTGAGTCAAAGATTTTCGTATGAACCCAAGGTTCCGCAGTTGATATCTCACAGACTTTGATATGTTACATACATGTTCAATAAATGAAATATTATTGTCAAATATCACACCAACGTTACGGATCTTTGAGGCTGGCTTTAGAACTTTGCCACCTACATCCAAGCTTAAATGAGTAACTCAGTTTTATTTTCATTTATTTTAACACCGTTTGAATCCACCCAGCCTTTCATGTCATGAATACAGGCTTCTAAAGTTCTCCTAGCATCGGCAATTGCATCTGAGGAAGGATGTACAGAAATGAAAAGCTGAATGTCCTCAGCATAACAATGATGCTTTATATTATGCTTTCTAATTAATGTACTGATTGGCTCAAGGTAGACGAAAAACATTGACGGGCCACCAACAGACCCTTGTGGCACACCATATGAAAGATAAGTTTTGTCAGATTGAGAATTATTTACAGAGACATACTGGGTTCTTTTATGAATGTATGATGAAAACCCGACTGCAACGCATTGCCTGTTCCCCAAGAGACTGTAGTCTCTTAACAAGTATTGTGTGGTCAATAGTGTCGAAAGCACTTGACATATATCAAGTAGCACAAGGAAAGTAATTTTCTTTTATCCATTTCAGAGAGGATACTGTCCACAATATTAGTTAGCAGCGTTTCCACACTATGGTGTGGGCGGTAGGCGGATTGAAAATTATCAATTAAATTATTTTCAATAAGATATGTGCGAAGACGTGAGAAAGCCACTCGTTCTGTGAGATCGGACAGATATGACAAATTTGAGATAGGTCAATAGTTCTGGAGACACTCACTGTCCAAACTAGATTTTTTTTTTTCAAGTTGGGGCGCACTGCTGCAATCTTCATACTGCCAGGAACTATCCCCGAACCAAGACTTGTGTTAATTATAGTTACAATTGATGGTATAATAGCAGGGAGACATTGTTTCAAAAGCAATGTTGGTATGGGTCAAGTTCACTGGATTTAAAAGGTGAACTCATTATGATTGACCTTATCTCATCAGCTGTTGTTGGAGATTTCAAACCCTCCGATATTAGTAAGAGCTGATCTAACATTCTGAATTGTTTCCACAAAGAAATTGTTAAAACGATCTGCAAGATTTACATAAGTAGGGAAGGGAGATTTTTTACTTCTGTTAAGTAGAACATTTGCAATTCTAAAAAGCTGTCTTGTACTTGTGCAGCTTTCAACCAACATAGAGTTATATGATGTTTTGGCAGCGCGAACACTCAACTGCTCTAACTGACGCTGGTTCTGATATTTCTCACGATCAGACTCTATGCCCGATTTAAGCCATTTGCGCTCCAATTTCCTTCGTTGGAGTTTTTTGTCTGCAATACCTTGACAGTACCACTTTGTGTTAGGGCGAACTATGACACATCTCTGTTTCATAGGAGCATACTCGTCAAGGACAGTTCTTAATAGAGATTTATAACATTCAAACTATTCTGAAACATCACTACTTGAACAGTTTCCAAGGAGAGATAGTTCAGTGATTCTTTCCATAAATGATACAATATTTATGGACTTAATGTTACGTGTGTGCATCACACTCTTTGCAGCAGGAGGTTTTATTAAATTCAACTTACAAATTATGGCAGAATGGTCAGAAAGACCATCCACCACTATTATATCTGTCACATTATTTATATCTGACTGGCGAGTGATTAGCAAGTCCAGAGTGTGGCTGTATGTATGTGTGTTGGGACCTGAATAAGGTCATAAGCACTTAGAGTTTCGAGGAAGAGCCGGGTATTTGGAGAAACATTATCAAAATGGATGTTAATGCAATTAACAAACTAGAATTCTTAAAAAGAAGGTAGTCTAAGAGACAAGAGAAATAATCTATGAATTGCTTGAGAGAGGATGAGGCACTCGGGGGCCTATAGATAACACACCCATCCATACATAAAGCATTATGTACAATGCTGATTTCAGTCATTTCAAATGTACTAATATTAAGTGAGAAAGGAACAAATTTAACATCCAAGTTAATACGATAAAGGCGTGCAACTGCACTACCTCTTTTATGAAGTCTTGGTGTATGACAAAACATGTAACCACATGGATTTAGGGCTGCTATCACAGCATCATCATCTAGATGCAACCATGTCTCACATACACCAACAATGTCAAGGTCATTATCTATAACAAAGTCATTGAATTCAGAGGTTTTATTACGAATCGAGCGGGTATTAATCATACAAAAGGAGACACTCTGTTGTGGTTGATTAACTTTATCCTTTGAACGGTGAAGCACAATGTTACAAGAAACCAGAGATGAATAGAAGCCATTGTATTATATGATAGTACTCATCACAAGGATTTATAATTGAACACTCATTCTGGTACTTTTGCATTAAAAGATTTAGAGAAAAAATAAGAATTCAAAGTTAGCTAAAGTGTTTTTATGTACCTTTAGTGTATCCAGTTCCTAAATCACAAGTTGCTTATATTTAATTTTTTGCCTAAACATCTATTCAACTAACGTGAC